ACTGGATTTGACCGAGGAACTGGCATTGTTAACCAGGCTTAGGATCTGCCAGACATCTTTCAAACCTTAACTACGTCCAGTAGAAGATTGTTTGCCTCTCTCACTTCTTATTGCTGTCATTTATGGCTGTAAAACTTCCACGTTTTTTATGTCACTGATGGCTACAAAACTTCCACGTTTTTGATGTCATTTATGGCTGTAAGACCTGCACGTTTTTGATGCCAATCAAATTGCTTAGATACTTTCTTGAGACATGTGTCAGCACGCATTTGTCTTCTTGTCAATCAGGCCGATTCCCGCCTTGATGTTCGTCTCAAACTGAACATCGAGGCGGGAATCGGTATGTCGATTAGAAGCTGCTGTTTCTACGCTGCTAACCTGATCGAGCTTCTCTCATGGCTTGGTGATCCAGCCCATCCCCTCCTTCAAATTTTTTGATAATCAAATCAAGTGACACCGTATTGATGTATGGGTGATGGGCAAAACCTCTTAAAGACGTTATTTTGTGGTCATGAACCACTCAAGCCATTGTTGAATTGTCCAGTAAGAAGCTTCATACGTGCCAAGACATTGTCCATTATGTGGACACTACGCTACGCCACTTGCCGCATCCTGGTGCAGCGGCCTTTTCATTGTCGCACATTAACTGCTGCGGCAATTGCACAGGGTAAAGTTCCGATTAATAATCTCTTTATAACGTCAACAGAAGTGGCCAAGAAGACGGCACCTGTGCTTATTGGTCTAGCGAATACTTTGGAGCAGAAATTTGCCAAAGTTGGATACTTTCGACCTATTCAACCAGGACCGGAATCTAGTTTATCTGATCATCATGTCGAGGTCATGCGTGATCAATTGGGGCTTCACAAGGACGTCAAACAGCTCTATGGCGTGACCAGTGAACGTGCTATTGAGTGTTTGCTGCACAGCAAACAGGACGATCTGATTGAGGAGATTTTGGATCGTTACGAGCAATGTCGAGAAGGTTATGACTTTATGATCATTGAAGGATCTCAAATCTCCAATCATGAAAGTGCTATGAGCTGGAAAATAAATGTGGACATTGCTAAAGCCATTGGCGCTCCTGTGCTGACTATCTCAGACTTTAGTGAGTCAACAAACACTAATGGGGAGCTCATTGAAGAACTATTGGCTCGTACGGCACTAAATGCTGATCAGGTCGAACGCGCTGGTCTTAATTTCATTGGTAATATTGCCAACCGAGTCAATGCCAAGGATCCTAAAACTCTGCGCCAAGCGTTGCGCACTAAGATGAGCGAGAAGAATTTGCCGTTCCTGGGATTCTTGCCTAACGACGACTTTATTGCTTCGAAACGTCTGAACGAGGTGTCGCACCAGCTTGGAGCGAAGCAGCTCTTTGGCACGAAAGCCATTCCAAATAATGTCGTGGTGACGTCGGCGGTAGTAGCTACAAGTGCCTTGAAGGATTTGTTCTCGCATTTGAAGAAGTACAAGGATGGTGCTTTGGTGATTACGTCGGCAGACCGCTCGGACATTATGCTTGGTCTGATGGCTTCGCGTTTGCCTGGCATCCTGCCAAACGTGTCTGCCATTGTATTGACAAACGGCAGCTATCCGCACAGCAATACGCAAGAGATTTTGAAGGGTGTCGAGGCTCTTGACAAGACGGGTCTCTCGATTCCAATCTTTTCTGTGCCCGAGGACACGTTCACGACGGCTCAAAAGTTTTCAAAGGTGTCGACAGACATCTTACCCACGAGTCAGCTCAAAATTGATCGATCTAAGCAGCTCTTTGACGAGTTCATTGAGAAGGAGAATCTCATAGGTGAGCTAAACGAGGGCATGATGGTAAACCGTTCTCCTAAACAGTTTCAGCACTTTTTGTTTTCCAAGTCGCGCGCTGTCCAGCGTCACATTGTGTTAACGGAGGGTGAAGACATTCGCGTGCTCCAAGCTGCCGACCAAGTGCTGCGTCAGAAATTGTCAAAGCTAACGATACTTGGCAATCCCGACGACATTCACCGCCACGCCAAGTCACTAAACTTAGATTTGTCGCATGCTAACATTGTGCACACGGCAGACAGCGACTTACTTGAGAAGTATGTTGACTCATACTATCAGAAGCGCAAACACAAGGGTGTGACCCGCGAGACAGCCCGTGATGCCGTGCTGGAAGAAACGTGCTTCGGCACAATGATGGTTGAGATGGGTGATGCTGACGGTATGGTGTCGGGTGCCTGCCACACCACTGCGAACACTATCCGCCCTGCACTGCAGCTTATCAAAACGATGCCAAACCGTCCCATTGTATCAAGCATCTTTTTCATGTGTCTTGAAGATGGCGTGCGAATCTACGGCGATTGCGCCGTCAACACGGACCCGAACGCACAGGACCTTGCACAGATTGCCGTGACGAGCGCTGAAAGCGCAGAGGCATTTGGTCTGATTCCAAAGGTGGCGCTGCTGTCGTACGCGACAGGTGACTCGAACTCTGGCCCAATTGTTGACAAGGTACGTGAGGCGACAGAGATTGCACAGAAGTTGCGTCCAGACCTGGACATCTACGGTCCAATTCAGTACGATGCTGCTGTGGACGAGTCAATTGCAAAGACGAAGCTGAAGGCGATTCCTAGCGGTGCTAAGGTTGGCGGCCAAGCGAATGTGCTGATCTTCCCTGATCTGAATACGGGTAACAACACGTACAAAGCTGTGCAGCAGAGCACTGGTTGCATTGCGATGGGTCCGATGCTACAGGGTCTGCGAAAACCTGTGAATGATCTGAGCCGTGGAGCAACAGTGAAGGACATCGTGACGACTGTGGCGATCACTGCAATCCAGGCAGACCAGGTGATTCGGACCCGCAAGGACCATACTGCTGCAGCCAAGTACTAAATGATGGTGATGGAGTAAATGGTGAGACTACAGCGTCCAAGGCGATTGCAACAAAAGGCGGCGTTTTTCACACTATCGCTAAGGGTAACAGGGCTAAGCGTTCGAAGGATGTTTGCAGCAAATGTGCATAATGAATCTAATTTATCTCGTTTGAGTGCATTCAATGTGATTTCATTCACTCCATTGAGACTACGTATACCACGTCGTAGCTTTCATATGAAGAAGCGCCATTCACGAAAGTGCTCCCGTTGAGGTAGTAACCTCAAAAAGACAGGTTGTAGTTGCTAGCAACGCAAACCGAGGCCGGCACAATGCAATTGTAAGGTGCTTGATGGGCTATCGTAGTGTTGGTTGGATAAGATAGACAGTATAGGTGATCATATACGTGACCATCAATCTCGATTGTTCCGTCGCTCGATTGTTCGTCGTATCACACCGTCACTGTTCCTTTCCGTCTTAGTAAATCTACAGCACTAGATAGTTCATGCTCAAACTCTCCCTTCACCGCTTCCGTATGCGCTATTCTGCAGATGCACCCGTGATGATATTTGTCAGCAAATTTCATAGTCGTCATAATCTGATGCGCATCTTGCTTCAACACCCAAATTTCTCTCCATCTTTACTGCCAGCTCCTAATGCTTTTATTCCCACGAGAAACGCATGGGCTTGTCCAAATCTTTTCGTACACGTTATTGAATGTCGGTATTCTTAAAGCGATTGTTTGTCGACGGCAGTTCGTATTGCTTCTGATCTTCCACATGGCTTTCCTCGCCTCTATTACCTCGTGTTGCATCCAACCCGCCATTGCATTATTCTAGCTCTCCTTGTCACGACTCCTAACGTTGTCGAATTTCGTTTGTTCACACCTTTGGTAGCATCTTGTAATTTTCTGCGCTTTAAACTCTTGTTGCTGCATTGAGTTTCTGCTGCTGCGGTTTAACCAATGCAATCCTTGCCGCTCTTGTTGTCTCCGACATTTTGCTGATTGTTAACAGATTCATGTCGCTCTAAACATCTCTTGCACGTGTTGCAGCTTTCTGCTTGTTTAACATCGCTATTTCGGGTCCTTGTTGGTAATAGAAAGACCTTCGAGTTGTTTCTAAGTTAACACCAGCTTTTGTGCTTCAAAACAAGAAACAAACGCGTATAATTATCGGCAGAGCTATGATGGCAACCTCTGTCCTGTGATCTCCATGCAAAGCTGACGCATAGCCGTACTCGCTCAGTCTTCTTCGTCCATCATAACGGGTTTGAGACTAAAATTCAAATAGATAGCACGCAAACTCTACGCACTGATCGTTTTGTAAAGCTCAGTATACCTTCAAAGTCATGATGAACAGGATGTTAGCAAAGTGCGAATTCGTCTCCAGTTCAGTGCGTTGGTGTCAAGTAGCTGAAAAGAAAATTCAAGCGGGTTCGGTTGATGACCGAGATAGCCCAGTCGTCCGCAATAGATATAGGGACCCTACGTCATAGCAATACACATTTCAACAGAGTAGATGCACAATGTGAGCGTCGCAATAATGCAGCCAATACGTGCTTAATATTTATTACCTTTGGATACTGGACAAAAAGCAGGAGAGATTCCGGATTCTGAGTCGGCGTTGCAGCGTCGTAATAGCTCATGTTCAAGCGTAAATGTTCTTCACCTTTTTGCACTTGACACATACGCCATAGAATTGGTGGCGTGACGTCTTTACTGCGGCTCCATCGAAAGTAAACGTATATGCGGCCATCATGCCTTGTTTCTTCAAACATGTAATGGTAGAACAATCCCGTGGTACCACTGACAAACAACGTCATTGCGTTTTTCCAGACATGAATGTCAGCATGTTCTTGAAATGCCGTTATAAATCCTCCTGGACACAGACCTTGCATCACAGCTTTTTTTCCTGGAGGTAAAAACTGTTTGCCGAGCGAGAATGCATGGAAAAGATCTACATCCACATTCAACAGTGAGCTTAACACCAGCGGCTTGGTTTTATCGAAACCAACCGGGTCAGATATCATCACAAGAGGCAAATGAATTCTCTGTACAGGATAAATCTCCCTCCTCCATGCATCTTCCTTTTCACGCAATCGCTGTCGTTCATTTACCACCGTGTCGTCCAACACTATCTTTACCAGCGCATTTTGATCGTGCCGTTTCTTCATCTTTTCATCTTTGACCCTCTGTTTCACGACACTTCGTGCCAATCGATCTTCTTGTCGCATCAGCTCACCTTCTTCCATTCTCTGCTGCAATGCCAATTCCTTTTGTACACTCTTTTCCAGTTTGTCTCTCTCCTTTTGTCTCTTCTTAGCTTTTCGTTCCCGTGCTCGAATCCTTTCCCACTTTACTTTCTCTTTCAATCTCCTTCTCTTCTTCTCTTCTCTCTTTTGCATCGTTACTTGTCTCCTCTCTTTTCGAAGCTGTAATTTCCTCCTCATTCTCCAATCCAGTCTCTTCCACTGCTCTTCTTGTGCATCCAGTACCTCGTCCTTCTTTCGATCTTCTCCATGAAATAATGTAGCCGCTTTTACCTCCTCTTCTTCTCTTCTCCTTGCTTCCAGTGTACTTTTCACGCTTTTGTCACGTGTTTTCTTCTTTTTCAGCCAATTTTGCTCGGTTTTTCCCCCCTTTTTCCACGTCCTGCCACGTGTTTCTTTCTTCTTCCTGTACCACGGCCTTGCATTGCTCTTGTTCCATCACTTTGTCCTTTTTTACCTGTCGTAATGACCGTCTTGTGGGAGTTCTCCTCGATCGTTGCAACGTCTCGAAACCTCGTTTTCGCTTCGTACATTCATGCGCGAGAGATGGATTCGTACTTAATGATACAATCTGAAGCTCCTGGAGTTTCTCTTGGTTCGCAGCTATACGTCGTTGCCGCTTGACTTCATATTCTGACGCTTCTTCCGTCATCTAGAGCGTCTACTAATACTAAATGACTGGGCTATCGCGTGATGAAATGATTGTACATTATGTAACGATATATGTATAGTTTCAACCAATCATAGCACGTGAATAGATGAGACCCACTCTTTTTCGCACGAATCATAATGCCCGTAGATTGTTACTTTTGAGACCATCTATTTTTTTTAAAATGTGTTTTGTTTTGTCATTCTAAAAACTAAATACCATTTGAACGTTAGGTTGAATGTCAAATGGTGGTACTATAAGAAATAAAACGACGGGAAAGTATTACAATCCATTTTAGGATTATAAAGAGTTAGGTATAGATTTTGAGCCAGGGATTGCTTCAGTATGAAAAGTAGTTAAATCAGAGTTATGAACCCTTTTTTAGTAAGACGTATTTACACTAACGAGCAAAAGGAATCGATATCATTGTCATTTAGAAATCAGGGTCCAACATCAACACATACACCTGACTTTGACATCCACCCTCGCCCCTTTCACTTGACCCTCTCCATCATCTATTACCTTATACTAATGTATTTGCAGAACTAACACTATGCTGATGGACACGAAATCCTATCACGACAATTGCAACAGTTGCCATGAACAATATGCAGTATGCAACGATCATACCTTTTAAATCCCCAGTAACATCCATAGCCCTGACTCTTTTGAAGAATGATTTAATCATCCCAGGCTCTTTAGGAGCTGCAACACCCTTACTTTTGCCACTGATAGTCTTGCTTTTAGTAAGATCCTTTTCATTCTTTAACCCTCCAACGTATTTGACAACTCTCGGATTGTTTTCGATAAACCTTGCAATAGCAGAACTTTTCTCTTTCAAATACGATATCAAGTTCGGCATTCCAGGAATTTCAAACCTCTCTTCTTCTTCTTCTTCCGTGTCTTTTGCAGTCGTAGTAGTAGTTTTCGTTTTGACACCATTGTTGTCAATGGAGTCGGAATCTCTTTGATTCTTGGCATTGTTGGCAAAACCCTCGATGCATCCGACAATAGCAAGTAATAGCAGTAGAAAGAAATAACACTTGCGCATGGATAGCAGAGAGATAGAGCAAGGGATAGAGTTTGATTGAGTGTTTAGAGATCAGTTTTAGAATGGTACTCGACCATTCATGGATTAATGATTCGATACGGAGAGGTTGTTATTTGCTTGCGACCTGTTTTTCATCAATTTCAACTCAATGCTACTACTATATATTAAGTTTCACAATCATGAAGCAGTACAGTGTATTTGACCTCAAGTCAAATGTTCTCAAGGGTCATCAGATTATGTGACAGAAAAATGACGACGATCAGATAGGGCACACAACTTCAATGCTGACATTTCAAGTTTCAAATATATTAGTTATTGCAGTTGATATATTTTGAAAGAAAGGATCATATCTGCTAACAAAGGCTATCAATTCACAACAGGTCTAAGACACATAGTCTATAGCTGGTTCGATAGGTTATTAGCTAGCACAGCACTGTCTTATGCAGGTTTTTAGTGTAACCCCGCCACATGTTTATAAGAAATAGCAGGACATTATGATTTATCATAATGACTAGATGCAACTGATCTTTCACGTCATTTAACACATGGTTGTGGTATAGTTAGTACTCCTATCTAATCGGCAATGTTACAACATGTTAACCAAATGATCACACAAAAGAACCACACAGCACATTTTGACTAGACTTCGCTATTATAAAGTTACTATAATTCCACGATGCAATGTTATTTTGATCGAATTCCGACAAAAACGTCTACATCCACCGATAATAATCGACGGCCATGAAGCTGGCTTGCTTCACATGACACCACGAGACAAAATATTTAAGAAAAAGTGGCGGCCTTGGCAGCTGGCTGGAGCACAGCTACCACACATCGTATCAAAGGATTGAGTTGAAAGGAGATCAGTAAGATCTGCTATTCTCGCGCATTATTGAGCATTTGCTCTTCTCTTTGAAAAACTTTAGGGGTTTTTTTTTTAAATTTAAAAAAAAAAATTTTTTTTAAAAAAAAATTTTTTTTTTTAAAAAAAAAAAAAAAAAAAAAATTTTTTTTTTTTTTGGGAAAAAATTTTTTAAAAAAAAAAATTTTTTTTTTTTTTATAAAACCTAAAAAATTTATAAAATTTTTTCAAAATCTGTAAAAAAAAAAAAAAAAAAAAATTTTTTTTTTTTGTGACTCGCTCATTCTGTAACTTGTCTCCAAGAACACAGTCAATTGAAATACGATTTATTTTTGCAATGACTCCTCGAGTCCAACTTGGCTTATCAAGATTCTATTGGGACGTCTTGTTCGGTGCTCTGTTTCTACTAGCAACGTTCAGTTCAGCCACGAGAGATGCCAACTCCGCGCCAGCTTCAAGCCTTGCTTTTGATGACAATAGCGTCAAGAATCACATCACATCGAGCAACACGTTGCAAGGGCTCCAGCAAAATGGCAAGGGTTCTGAAGAGAGAGAGTTCATACCCCAGGTTGATTCTATGGTCACGAAACTATTCAAGATAACGAAAAATTTCTTTCCGGTCAAGGCATTCAACAAAAAACAGAGTGTCGTAGATTCGCTCTACGAGAAATACGTCGTAAACGATGAATATTCCACTTCACTTTTTAAAACTATTGGGTATAGAGGGTGGGCAGCCCATGTTCAGATCATATTCAATGGAAACGTTGAAAAGACCGAGAGAGCCATCATCGAAACGTTGACAAAAAAATTTAACGATGGTACGTTGCGAACTATGTTGGAGAATGCAAAGAAACAAGATGATCAACAGGTCAAAGAAATCGCTAGCAAGCTGGAAATTACACAGGCATTGAACTGGGCAAAAACGGAGAAGAGCCCAAAAGACGTCATTGGATGGCTTGGATCCAATGATAACTGGGAGAACCTTTTGACAAGCCCAGCACTGAACATTTGGTATATCTATGTCACAAAACGTGGAAAACACGAGAATCCGTTTGATCTCTTGGTGACACAACTGACAATGGCCCATAAGGACGAAGAAATAGGCGAAATCTTAATGAGGGCGACAAAAAAAAAAAAAAAAAAAAAGGTGGTACGAATGACTTGGAGCTCTATGATAGTTTTGTAAAGGCGCTACTCACGCACTGGTCGAATGATCCGAAAACGAGCACGCAGGTTTACTCGTTGTTTCAGATCGACAAGGTAGATAATGCATTGGATAGTCCTCTCTTGCTCTTGTGGGCTTCCTACTGTGATTCAATGGGGCACGATCCGGTAGCATTTTTGTTTGAAAATTTGCAAGCTCACTACAAGCATGACGAAAAGCATGACGCAAAACTTGCACGTGCGATAATCGATGCAAAGCAAAAGCACCCCCACGACGAATTTTTTGTAAAGATGGAGCAAAAACTGTTGACGACATGGCAGGCAGAGGAAAAAGACGAGGGTCTAGTTTTCGATCTTCTAGGATTGGACAAGGTTGAGACTAACATATTTGCACTTCCGGCCATGGAGACTTGGGTTTTGTACGTCCAAAAGTTAACAGGGGAGAAATGGAAGGTGGCCGTTTTGAAGTTTCTTCAAAGAAGTAATTACGATATTCATCAGGGCAACACGATTGCAAACGCCAAGACTTCAGATATTGCTGCAATGGTGGTGGTGCAAGCTTGGCTTCAGGAAGGAAAAGACGATGCTGACGTATTTGAACTTCTTGACGTGATAAGTGAACCAAATGGTATCGATCCTCGATCTCTTCGTGTCTGGGCGTATTTTGTAAAAAAGCTTAACGCTGCCACGTATCGAGACAACATTCCGGATGAGGCTCGGTTGATTACGCGCTTGCTGAATTACGCAAATGAAAGCGCTCTGGCAAGAGCGCTGGCAAAGTTGAAACATAAAGAGCCTGAACAACACATGTCCTTGTTCTTAACACGCTTGCAAAACGAACATTTTCAGCTGTGGAAGTCAAGATACCATGACAGGGAGAAGGTTAAACAGTACTTGGTTGACAATCATATCAATGATGAGAGCGTTCAAATGATTATGGTGGACTACGACCTTTTTCTTAAGGGCTCTTGAACGGACCAGTAGATGGCGCTGGCAGATTGAAGCACGGATTGCGGTTTGGAGGCGTAACAATAAGTACTCGTATTCTTGCCCGACTTTGGCATTGGCATTGTACTAGCGTTTATATATTCCTGTTGTCACCCTGAGCTTTGCAGCTTCATAGTCCTCGTTGTTCTTGTTTGTGCCTCCAAATTAACATAGCAGTTTCTCAACCCTTTTAGGTTGGCTGTACAACGATTCACTCCGTCTTCTTGCTCACTGCAGCAATCAAGGGAAGTCTCACAGTCTTGAACTTTTTGATCGGACACGACCACTTCAAGCACAAGCTCAATCGTGAGCGGGTCTTGTTTGAACAGCAGCTGTACTGTTCTGTAGCCGTGTTGTTTTTGTCTGGTAGCAAGCTGCGGCTCCCGCGACTGCACGGACAATGCATATATCATTTCAATCGTGTTTGCGTACAGCCTCGTCCAGCCACTCTGAGCAATGACAAAAGCATGAACCAGAGGAGTAAACGGGTGGGCGAAGTGCATCAAATAAAATCCTGCTGGTCTGGTGTGGGGATGAACAAGCATGAGTGTTTTGTCCATGTCGTCCGGGTGCGACATCTTGACAGAGGCAGTTAATAAACGGCCACCAAGTCCAGGTAGCATGACTTAAGCAGATCGATCCACACAGGCGGCGTGTTGATCAAGTGCAAATTTGCGAGTAATGCCCAAGTTTCCTTCCACCTATGAGAAAGTTGTGTCCTCCTTGGTCTCGAATCTCCATGGCTGCATCGCTCACGTCAAAGCACCATCTGCTGCGATATCAACCGGATCAACTTTTACAAGATGCACAATAGGTATCCGACACCGAAAGTAGCTGTATACTGCACGACATCCCATTCAAGTAGATCTTCATCTATCATATCGTGCATTGTAAACTGGGAGCCCATGTAGTTCTTGTCTCGGGCACCACTGCACGACAGGATGAGCACTTACTACGCTTTGTCGTATCGCCGAGTACACATCCGCTGTCAAAAAGATGACAAAGCTCACCAGCATGTCGTACTGCCGTCATAAATATACCGCTCCTGTGCACCAAATTGTGTTCTCAATCCTATCTATGGGTATAGTTTGTAGGTGTTTTCTACCGGGAACGAAGGTAGCACATCAGAGCTTGTGCGAGCGACAAATGCCATAAAGACCGCGCCATGAAAGCGCTATTAACTCCTGCAGTGCGAATAAGGTGATATGACGTAGCGCTGCATCTGCTGGTAAAGGCGACTTCAGTGGAGCCTGGTCGTATGCACTCATAAAGTTTACCAGAATAGCCTTCTTCATGTTCACAAAGCATTATGGACAGCTTACTTCCATCTCGTTCGCCAACTTCTGCGCATATTGAGACGCCACTCTAGTGACTTCTCTACACATGGGCCACAAACCTTTCTCACGCACCCAGCTCAATGCACCCAGCTCAATGCACCCAGCTCAATCCCAGCTCAATATAGTCCTTGTACAAGATTTGTCCACGGTACGTAGCGTCTACCGCGTTCGTAAAATTTCCTGACAAATGGCACACTCCAGCATCTTGCAAGTATTCTCGAGCACTTCCAATTGTTCGTCTCTCCAAATGAGCTCCACAGTCAAGTACGCTAATATGCTCACCAAGTTACTAGCAGCTAACGCAGATACTGCAGTCTGTTGTCATCAAAATGTCTGCTCTTAAGCGTCAAGTGGATCTCAATGAGCACGTCGACACTTCTTCACATTGTGCTGCACTGCTACGTTTCTCTCGACTAAAGGTGCAGTCTCTGGCTTCGATTGTTCTCCTGTCACATCCATTCGATCGTATCCGCTGATTGCATTAAGCCTCGCTTTGTGCTTGACACCTCCTCACCAATTTAACAGAACGACCTGTAGAATGACTGCCGTTCATGCAGTTCACGGAAGCTCCTGCTAGTCTACAAGATCCTCAGCTGCTGCATCGACAAGCGTTCGTACTATCACATGGAGATACAACTCGAGCTGCCAACGTACTGCAACGATCGATCCTGGCCGTCGGTTGATGATCATTTGTGCTGGCAGTGCCAAAGTTCTATAGTTTGTAGCGTTTTGTTCGTTCACAGACGCTAGTCACGCGGCATCAAGACAAGAGGTTTACCATTGGTAATTGCTAGAATGCTGCATGAATCTGGTCTGCAATGACACTGGAAGATAGTCTGTGTCAAGAAGTATGGCTACTACTGCAAAGTTCATGCTTTCTACGCACAAGCCGTCTATCTATTTGAATGCAAATATCAAGACGAGAAACATAAGACGTCCTCGTTTCTGAAGATACTGTACGCGGCCATAAGCAAACATGTATATGTGCATGCAAGAGGAATGGCATAACAAGTCACCATCATGGAAATGCTCAGCGACGTGAGTCTACCAAAAGCTGATCCACAGCGTCACGAGGCTAGATTCGTCTGCTCACTGTGTTTGAGGGCGGTCAGCATCATACGCGTTTGTATCCAATCGCCCATGACGGCACAAACCGCTACATGGCGTACACCGAAAGCTTTGTACCACCGCCGAGCCTCTTGACGGGTGAAGTGGGTCCTGTAGCAGCCAAAGAAGCAGCAATAAGACCTTTGCAGTCATTACCCTTGGTGTCATGCTTTGCGTGGCGATGTTTGACGGAGCTGAAGTACAGTAAGGAGATGCACCCCAGTCAAATTTATCATGTCAACCGAAGCGCAAGTTTTTCCACTACAGCGTTGATACAGCAGAACCCTTGACGTTGATTGATATGCATCCGCTAACAATATCACGGCAGCAAGTTGATTATACGACTGCAAATGGTGACAGCTTTGGCTCAGTGGTGGCGCTGTAACAAGGTGCAGCATGTGCAGTGTGCTACTTGACATGCATCAAAATCGACCTTGATCAGAAAGGATAGTGTCAACTACACCGACGACTGCAGTAACAATAAACATAGCGTCGAGATGAAGACGCTTGAAGTGCGTATCACGCTTTGCACACAGCGTAACGAGGCTGTAGCCGATTGCAATGACTTATGCGTTGTCCGTGCAGTCGCGGGAGCCGCAGCTCGCTACCAGACAAAAACAACAGCGGGTCTTGATGTTTGAAGTCGTCGTGTCCGATCAAAAAGTTCAAGACTGTGAGACTTCCCTTGATTGCTGCAGTGAGCAAGAAGACGGAGTGAATCGTTGTACAGCCAACCTAAAAGGGTTGAGAAACTGCTATGTTAATTTGGAGGCACAAACAAGAACAACGAGGACTATGAAGCTGCAAAGCTCAGGGTGACAACAGGAATATATAAACGCTAGTACAATGCCAATGCCAAAGTCGGGCAAGAATACGAGTACTTATTGTTACGCCTCCAAACCGCAATCCGTGCTTCAATCTGCCAGCGCCATCTACTGGTCCGTTCAAGAGCCCTTAAGAAAAAGGTCGTAGTCCACCATAATCATTTGAACGCTCTCATCATCGATATGATTGTCAACCAAGTACTGTTTAACCTTCTCCCTGTCATGGTATCTTGACTTCCACAGCTGAAAATGTTCGTTTTGCAAGCGAGTTAAGAACAAGGACATGTGTTGTTCAGGCTCTTTATGTTTCAACTTTGCCAGCGCTCTTGCCAGAGCGCTTTCATTTGCGTAATTCAGCAAGCGCGTAATCAACCGAGCCTCATCCGGAATGTTGTCTCGATACGTGGCAGCGTTAAGCTTTTTTACAAAATACGCCCAGACACGAAGAGATCGAGGATCGATACCATTTGGTTCACTTATCACGTTCAAATACGTCAGCATCGTCTTTTCCTTCCTGAAGCCAAGCTTGCACCACCACCATTGCAGCAATATCTGAAGTCTTGGCGTTTGCAATCGTGTTGCCCTGATGAATATCGTAATTACTTCTTTGAAGAAACTTCAAAACGGCCACCTTCCATTTCTCCCCTTTTAACTTTTGGACGTACAAAACCCAAGTCTCCATGGCCGGAAGTGCAAATATGTTAGTCTCAACCTTGTCCAATCCTAGAAGATCGAAAACTAGACCCTCGTCTTTTTCCTCTGCCTGCCATGTCGTCAACAGTTTTTGCTCCATCTTTACAAAAAATTCGTCGTGGGGGTACTTTTGCTTTGCATCGATTATCGCACGTGCAAGTTTTGCGTCATGCTTTTCGTCATGCTTGTAGTGAGCTTGCAAATTTTCAAACAAAAATGCTACCGGATCGTGCCCCATTGAATCACAGTAGGAAGCCCACAAGAGCAAGAGAGGACTATCCAATGCATTATCTACCTTGTCGATCTGAAACAACGAGTAAACCTGCGTGCTCGTTTTCGGATCATTCGACCAGTGCGTGAGTAGCGCCTTTACAAAACTATCATAGAGCTTCAAGTCATTCGTACCACCTTTTTTTGTCGCCTTCATTAAGATTTCGCCTATTTCTTCGTCCGTATGGGCCATTGTCAGTTGTGTCACCAAGAGATCAAACGGATTCTCGTGTTTTCCACGTTTTGTGACATAGATATACCAAATGTTCAGTGCTGGGCTTGTCAAAAGGTTCTCCCAGTTATCATTGAATCCAAGCCATCCAATGACGTCTTTTGGGCTCTTCTCCGTTTTTGCCCAGTTCAATGCCTGTGCAATTTCCAGCTTGCTAGCGATTTCTTTGACATGTTGATCATCTTGTTTCTTTGCATTCTCCAACATAGTTCGCAACGTACCATCGTTAAATTTTTTTGTCAACGTTTTGATGATGGCTCTCTCGGTCTATTCAACGTTTCCATGAATATGATCTGAACATGGGCTGCCCACCCTCTATACCCAGAACTCTGAAAAAAATCTGGCATGGATGCATCCGCGCCTGCGTTGTATTTCTTGTAGAGCATGTTGACAGCACTTTGTCATTGAAACGAAAGCTTTGTACATCTTGCGGGTTGATATTCACCGGTGTAGCTAATGTAAACGATGCTAATAGTAGACACAGAGTACCGAATCGTACGACCCAATGGAAGTTTGAAAACCCCAAATGGTCTTGAAACGTCATTTCAAAGGACAAATACGAAAAAAGCTCTTGGAGTCAATTCTGCTTGAATGCGAAGTTTAGAAATGAACGTTTATTCATAACTTAGGTACGTAAGTGAACGTGGATACCGATCAGAAAATATATATACATGGTTTGCTACAAAGGTATTGGCTGGATCATTATACAAAACACAACACTTTGATACTGATCTCATTTTGGATTTTACATTTGATGAGTCGAGGTGAGTCGAAGAGCTCTGTTAACAGCTAATCAATCATAAGTCAATCACTGGATCGGTAATACCCTATTTTATGGTGTATTATTACGGTCAGCAAGTTTGTTTTGCTCTGTATATGACAGTCACTGTCGGCTCATGTGAAAACGCCTCTGCAGACGCGGTATCCGTTTCAAAAGTGTGCATCTCTGCATTCACCATCATTAATCGATCAAATAATCCTTTCGATCAAACAATCAAGATCGATCAAACGATCATCGAACATGATAGGATATTGCCTTACATACGTAACAAGAAGCAGGGGTTGCTTGTTGTCTGTTCGACAACATCTTGCACATACATCATCGTCCTTTTTTGTGAGCTTCGGGCACGTCTTGCCGTCAGTGACGTTATTAGAGAAATGGCTCTGTAATGCTTCTTGACAAATCACGAACTCATACTGCGCGTGAGCGTGCCTCAGTGATTGACTGGTCAACGTTCGTGCGGTGAGCTTCGTAAGTTCTGGCATCGCCGTACCTGGATGCTGGGCTTTGCTTAACGTAGCCAGTGCCCTCACGCTTTGGCAGCCTCCACCGTATACGCAAGCTTTCTAATGGCAGGTCACCCACCGCCTGACGCATGCCCAGCACTGGTATTCACTGGATACTTAACGGTACGTACATACATGCCTTCGGTGGGGTGGAGACTGACGAACTCACGCCGTTTACAACCGAAACTGAGAGGCATCAGGTTTCTCTTCGAACACATCCTAGCATCCCCTCAGGCGATTCTCAACGATAGCCTGTTGGTCTCATCAACATGCGCTGCCGACGCAGTTGAAAAGTGATGATAACAAACACTGAGTACTAATAGTCTTAATGCCGCCAAGCTACTGCTAAACCAATGATTGAGTTAGAAATAACAGCAAAGCTGTGTGTACTCTGACTTTATTTAATAAAGAACTAATCGACTAATGCTAGGAGAGAAAGAGACCCGCATTCTCTTAATCGTGACACACCCACCATTGTCTTGACCCAACGACTCCTGCCGTTCGATACTTCCCTCAGCTTAAAAGTCTTCGCGCATCAGAACTTACTTACTTAACCAACGAGACACCAACGCGACTTTACACAAAATACATTTCGCCCTTCATGGCTGGATGCACGTCGTACATGCGGGTGTCTGCTTCCGGTGCGGTGTCACTAACGCCAGAAACGGTCGAAACAGTATCGCTGCCATCCACCAAGAAGAAACGAGCACGAAACGCTACCAGGTGCGAGTAGTACGCTGACGGTACCATTGACACAGAACGAGTGCAGCGCGCGAACGTATAACATAGTCGATACGTTAGCGTTTGCAGCTCATCGGCTGTAAACTCAATCTCATTCAGAAGCACATGGTAGTGCGTCGGACGACTGGTACCTTGCAGTCCAGCATGGCTCATCAAATAAAAGTCATTTTCGATGGGGTGGCAGATGCCCTGCTCCACAACAGTGCCTGCCTTGACGTTGCCACTTCGGTCAGCATCCTTCGCACTGTCAGGAAATAAGCGCGTATTGTGCCTCTTCTGAACAATAACGAACGTGATAGGCGGCATGTAGCCCACCTCCAGAGCCTGGCATGCCTCACGTATAGCCGTCACCTCATAGTTCAGGACCATGTGAAACTGACCTTCGCTCACACCGTCACGGTAGAACACGATGCGATCAGGCTTGCTGTGTGTTTGGTGGTAAAACTGCTTCATGAGCTCCATGGTCATGTTTTTTAGATGCATTATCTGTTCGACCCGGTGACCTTGCGCGCGAATTGCCGATGCGTGACGGATAAAATTCGCATCCATCGACGCCGTAACAGCGGCAATAGACGGACGCGTCTTGTCCATTGGGCTGGGGTGAGTGACGTCGGCTCCAAAGATAATCGTGCGTGAAGTCGACACACGGGGCAATGGGCCACTAATGACACCGTTCTTCCCACCAAGCTTCGTATTTACCTTCATCAAGATATTCGCAATGTATTGCGGGCTACACTTTTGAATATGCTTGGACAACATGCACTGTGATACAATTCCCATTCCAGCTTCCGTGTCTGACATTAATTTAAGCTCACCGTATGCTTGTGCATCAGCAACTGGATTAATCATCCACACAACTTTTGGAGGCGTCTTAAACGCTTGGTTGGCAGCCTTGACCGCGGCTTGAAACAGTCCACGCACTGAATCCTCTCGGCCCTGCTTCAACAGGATCGGCGGCAATGCCGGAGGGCACCGCATTCCCAACTGCCCCATTTGAGTAATTACAGCTTTAAAAAACTTTTGAATATCACCGAGACCGCAGCGCCTTGGATCACACAAACTGATAACGGCCCATGACGGGCACTGCGCTGGCGTGTTAAAACGCTTGCCACGCATGTTCCAAGCTCCATCACGAGGACTCTCGCGAGCACCTCCACTGTACTCGATAGTCGGGGGCGGCAGCTGGCGGCCGGTCGTCTCCACAATTCTCGGGTCAACGTCCAGTCCAAATGCTTGGAGCGTCGGGTCCGTGCTAAATCCAGCCTCTCGGAATTTTTGCTCAATCGCGCGTTTGCGCTTGTCTGGTGGCGTGCAGGTAAACTTGATCATGTTGGCCACTTGTTTATCCGTGACCTTACGGGGACACTTCTGTCCGGCAATAATGTGGCATACCTCCATCGGCAAGTAGTTTTTCTTCTGGGGTGCACCAACATGCAGACACGGTAACTTTGGGTAACGAAGACGAATGTTGTATGTATTCTGAAAATACTGCGCAACCGACATTCTCTCACCGTTATCATTCTCAAAGAACGTTTTCTCTGCACTCTCTTTCGACAAACCATTCACGCGATAGCTGCGACGCACTCCTGGGCGATGAGTAATACTCACTTTGACACCTCGTATAGCTTTACTAAATGCCGAGTGCTGATACTTGGCCAGCGTTGTCGGCATTTGTCGCATTGACAACGTTGTACATAAAAAATCAACCACTGCCATTTCTTCCACAAATGCTGTCGCCGCCAAATCCAAATTCACAACCAGTCGATTCTGTGTAGCTCTTAAGCTTTGAAAATATCCATACCAAAGCTCTGCACCTTCTCCAAGTGACGTAGCTCCCTCTCGATGAAACAAATTACGGCCTACTACTGTAAATCTTTGCGACGCCGTGTGACGTAGTGCCACATCCAGTGCCTGTAATGCATCGTAGGGTGTATAATTAAGACGTCCCGCAAATAACTCTTCCAATTGCTGCATACGAATGGCAACTGGGTTTGATTCCTTCACTACTGCTGAGAATACTTTTGCTTGATTCCCATCATCCGGTAATACTAACCCTGGAAACTCTTGAAGCTCAAAAGGCAGTTTTTTCGGTGCATAAATATTCTTGCGACCATCCGAGACTGTTTTAATACTTGGATATTGCCGTTCCAGCTCTTGCATCAATGCTTTCATAATCTTATAGGCCAATGCCTTGGGTGGACCATCATTCCCAAAACTTTTCTTATCATCGGCCATCATGACATCATAGTGATAAATATCACCTGTCAAATTAAATTTTACTTTAAAATGATTTACATAGAGTTTCACAGGTTTACCAATTTGTCCAAATCCAGGACGCGGTGGAAAATGTGTCTGAACAAGTGGTTGGACGGGTTGCAGCGGATCCGATACACGTACTTTCTCTTCCAATTGTACAGCAAGTGACTCGACACGAGAGGAAGCTCCAGTTGGAACGACCCGTGGTGAGGCTGGAGAAGGGGCAGTGGTCTGGGATGGACGCGTAGTCGTGGATGGAATGGCATTACCACGTCCACGAGACGCAGTTTGCCCACGTCCACGTCCGCGTCCAGTCCCACGGGCACGACCAATACTTAATTCAGTCTCTTTCTGCTGCTTGTTCTGCCGACCTGGCATTTTGAAGAATGAATGACAATGGAAAACGATCGAAGCAAAAGGAAAGATTGAATACCTGTATGAAATAATAGTTGTTACTTCAATGAGAGTGGGAAATGCTTTTTTGGGGGGATGGGAAAGGGGGAAGGGGATACGGTGTGGCTTGCGTGTTACTTCACACGCTTCATTATGCTATCTGACTCACATTGAAATAAAGTGCTTTTTTTTCAACTGTAATGAACGAGAAGGCGCAATGAAATAAAGCGGTTCAACTGTTTACATACAGATGAAGGTGAATATGCTCAAGGGTATATACAATTTCTATGTGTTTTCGATAGGAAATGATGGCGGTATTTTGTCTCGTTAAGTTCGTGGTCAAAGGTCTTGCGTCATCCTGCCTGATGCACATCATATAAGATTGTCGTCACCTATAGAAGATTCTAGTCTAGGGACAACGTGAGACATGATTTGTTCGATACAAAATATCAGGTTTTCAAAATCGATGGCGTGAGGTTTTAAGGCTTAAAGCTCAGTGCGGTCAACTTTAGTCACTTAGCGAATACTTTTTATAAGCTTGAACGCAAAGTATATGTAACATGCTGTTTTCACCATAGTCTTGCATCATGAAATTGCAGTTACTTTATCGACAAAATAAGAGATTACAAGTGTCCGCCGCTATTTTGTTGATAGAGACGTCTTATGTGGAAAGCAATTGGCACATTGTTGGAACGTTTAGTTCATCTAAACGCGCACGGGATTACCATAAAGGTGAACGATACCATTGTGACGACGAGTCGGTAGCCGTGTGTTTCAAGTGACGATCAATACAGCGCAGCAGCTGTGGATTTATTATTCTCGGCGTGGTCAACTACAATTTGAAATGGTGACGAAACCCATAATTCAGTTTACTGTATGACATGGAGATGTATTGTGCTTACATAGAGCTTAAAATTGGTCAAACACGTCAAATGCTGCTCTGTCTTCACCATACAAGACGACAGCGTCGTCAATGGGTGAATCCGGATACTCATCAAAGTGCGTGTGATCGCCAGGACCTCCAACTGGTGGCAAATACGGCGGCGTATCCGAGCGGGCGAGTACGGCGTCCCAGTCCACTTTGGCGAAATATTTATGCTTTTTTTACGTCCTCCGATCCGCCTCGTAAGCAACCTGGATGCACAATCAGAATAACGAGACATATTGTGAGGGGTTTGATTCTAACGCACTAGATAACCGAGATATTGAGACGCACCCAGTCGTTTCGTACGATCTTGCGATAGAAGCTTTTTAATGAGGTCCTTTGCCTTGGAGTCTATATGCTTGGGAAATTCCACCTTCCCGTCCAAAATCTTCTGGTAAATACCAAACGGGTTTTCGTCGTAAAAGGGTGGATACCCCGCCAGCATTTCGTAGATGAGTACACCGAGCGCCCACCAATCGACCGATTTGCCGTGTCCTTTGCTCTGAATAATCTCAGGTGCGAGGTATTCTGGTGTGCCACACAATGTCCATGTCTTGTCTTCGACAATTTTGGCAAACCCAAAGTCAGTGATTTTGAGAGATCCTTTTGATGTGATGAGGAGGTTCTCTGGTTTCAAGTCTCGGTAGATAATATGTTGAGCGTGAAGATAAGACATTGCCATGACCAATTGCGATGCATAGTAGCAAGCTACATGATCCTGGAAGCGACCTTGACGTCTTAGGTAGGAGAACAACTCACCTCCTTGTACGTACTCAAGTACCAAGTAAAGTCTTCGTTCGTCTTGGAAATGACCCTGATAATTAACAATGAATGGATGATTAATCCTGCTCAGAATATCCACTTCACACTTGATATGATGCAATTGTTGTAATCTTAAGATTTCACTTTTCTTGAGAATCTTTAGCGCATGGAATGACCCCCCATCCTTCAATTGCACGAGGCGAACTCGTCCAAATGTGCCCGTGCCTAGCGTTGCCAATATCTCAAAGTCTTCAAGTGAATAAGAACGTCGTATTCGTAGCTCATCCACGGGTAAAGCTGGGGATATAACATCCACTGGTACGTCTTTGCCGTCCATTATAGAGCTATGTGTCTTCTTTTTTCGAAACATTGAGCAAAGTATTAAACTGGTCAATCCTATTGAGTTGTGCGTTAATTTTCCACTAGCACTCAATCACAACAACAACAACTTAAGCAACAAGTTAAGAAGACTCGTGGGTGAGAGCACAAATGGCTCTGACACAGAGCCGAGCACTACAGCTCTTAACGTAGCTCTCCGACGCTTCGGACTGGAAAAGCTCGATCCTTTTTAAGGAATATTATTACTATGGTCGTCGAATCAGGTGAGCTTTTAACCACTAGGGAGAGACAATCTCAGTCATACTGGACAGAGATTGGATGAAAAGATGATGTGACTAAAAGTGAACCGTCTGATCCCAACGAACACGGAACTTATCATGAAATTTAAAACTGCTACAGTATGAAATTGTAGCATTCTGTTTCAGTGCATTGTCATGGATCCTGTTGTACCACGCATTAACGCTCGTTCTTTTTTTTTCGCTATTTGTTTTAGGTCGTGGAAAGAAAGCATTAGTCTCTCTCGCTCTTATTTATTCTTCGAACATACATATGCCGTTATGACGATTTTACTTACTATTCGATTTTAAGACATAATCTAGAGCAATAAATAAAAAAAACTTGTTCTAAATGATATTAAAATATTGAAAAAACAGCGACTTTTTCAACTCGGCTTTCTGACTCAAAGAAGACCATTAAATCTCTTGAAAAATGATTTGCATGGTATTAGTAATATGACTGTTAGGACATAATATGAAATTAATTCAGCTATACTATTTTTCTAAGCATATGGAAAGAACAGTCTTTGAATGTTCAAGGAATAAGTGAAACAACGAATCTCTTTTTACTACGAGATCCTCGGAGTTTATGGGCTCTATTATTTGTCGTCATGTTTCCCTCCATATACGAATATTTACGTCTAAGAAAGGGGTGGATGTCATGGCAAGTCATCTTGTCTCTACTATTATACTGAATAACATCAAGGTCTATCTATACCAATACTTATTCTAAGGTTCAAACATGTCAAGCGTAGCATCATTTACGCTACGTACACAACATTCACTAACAACAATCATGACCGTCTCATATTTCTGAACGGTCCCACACATACACACTCACTTACTTGACTTGACCCGTTAGTTAGTCAATCCACTTCACTGCCACGAATAGTGCCATGATCCTTGGGCTATCGGCTCCCATCCGTCTGACAAAAATCAATCAGTGGTAGACGGTCGAGTCCTACCAAACTTTCCAGACGTGCCACTCGCAGCAGTGCTCCCAAAGGGTGATGAGTTGGTAGCAGACCACGCACTGAGCGACGTGTCGCGCGTATTACGCGAAGTATAGCGCTCTGTATCCGAAACAAGCACGGAGCTCCATGAACCGCTAACTTCACTGCTACTTGTCATGGATGATCCTGATGAGTAGAGCGCAGACATTCGCACGTTTAAAGTGTCTATGTCCCCGTTGAAGCTACGCGTGGATGGCACACAGCTTCGAGCGCTAATGACACGAGAATGATTGGCTGCCATCGTATGACCGCGGTCCATCGTATCGGTCCTTGCTGAAAACGTACCGTCGTGCTGATACGAGGGCACTGCAGCCATAAAAGCGGTGCCGTTGCAGCCATTCTCCGAAGTCATATTGTCCTCCATGAAGGTCGGAGAGAGCCGAGCAACCGAGTTCATTTCCATATTGTTACCTAACGAAAGACGACTCTCATCATCTTCAACACGAGACTTTTTCCGGCTTGACGCGACAAACACCATCAGGAGTCCCAATATACCCGCAACGACACCAATAATAGCAAAGATCGATCCTGTGCCTAAGCTGTAATAACTGGCGGAGCTTGTATTCACGTCTGACACACCACCAGGACGAACAAGAAGACCTCCAAGATTGCTGTTGACGCCATCGTTCCTCTGCGTTATATCACTACTAGAGTTTTCCCTTGAGCCGTCTTTGGAACAGTCTGTGCTAAAATATTTGTTGTTGCTTGCTTCCTTTTCCATCGTCACGCCTTCAGAATGAAATAAACTCGAGTTTTTCGTATCGGCAACTTTTAAAGGCTCCTTCAAACTTACGTCAACACTTGGGCTTACGCGAACCTGTCCTGGAATAGTAGCCTTAATAGTACTTCCACTCCCGCTTGCGGAAGATAACGTCTCTGTGTCATTGCTGCTTTTTGAGTCGAAGGAAGCTGGTGATATGGTTGGCTCGTCGGTCTTAACAATAGAGGAGGCAACTAACGGTAAATCGGCACTGCCTGTTTGTACTGCTTGAGTGGCCGTTATGGTAAGTGGCAAAGCGTTACCCTTCTCTGAGGGAATAACCACTGCACCTGCAGAGATCGATCCCGACATGTCAGTCTCAGGATTGATAAAGTCATTATCTGGTAAACCAGAACTAGTCTGTGCTGTAGGCATTGGCTTACCAGGCTGTTGTGAATATGCATCATCTACTGCTTGTGTCGTAGCTAAGCCCGTCATTTTGATGTCACTCGATTTTGAAAACTCCACTGGGGTCTCAGTCGGTGCTGAGGTCGGTGGTGGCTGAGTTGGTAATGATATCAGTGGTGACGGAGTCGGTGCTGAGATCGATATTGTCGGACTTGATCGTACGAATAGTGGTGCTATCGTCGGTGCCACGTTTGATACTTCACCATTAACTCTTGCTTCTGCTTCTGTTCCGTCATTGGTTGCTACTGTTTTCTTCGTCGAGCTCTTCGTCACCAAAGCTTCCGGTGCCACCCCACTCGACTTTGTTCTAGGTATCTCGTCCTGATTTCTAGACTCTTTCATTGTCCTTAACTCGACGTTCTCATTATAGTTCCTATCACTTTCTTCTCCTTTCTCGTTCCAAATCGTTTTTATCGTAGAGCCTTCCGTCCTTTTATCATTTGAATGCGTGACCGTCATCGTATCGCTCCTATTATTAGCTGTCCTTGTCGTCAAATCACTTGACATGACTGTATTTCGAGGATCCACCGTTTCGTCTACCATGTTCAAAACAGTGTCACTAGCAATATCGTTAAAAGTAACAAGGATACGAGCTGCGCAATGTGCCACTGCAACCACTAGCACACCAAGCACCACTATTGCGCATCTTTTTCTGCGCCATGGCTGCCCTAGGCCAGCTCTACCGCAGCGTCACGGCGTAGTCTGCTGGAAGTTGCGTGAAACGTGAGCGAATACTTCTTTCTCTGAACCAATCTATTGACTGTTTGAAAAGCTGAAACTGTGCTTTTTTACTGGCTATCTACGGCACAAAAGGCGCTTATTCATTGCTAGCAGAGCAAGTACGCACACGTAGCCGTGTACAGTAAAATATCGAATGGATCGGATTAGACAAGTTATACTGTTTACAAGGATCATACTAATTTCAGTACTGTTTACAGCCCGTCTTTTTCCGTGAATATGGCTTCACTTTCGCTAGTGAACTAGGCTACAGGGCGTCTGTATCAGCCAAGTCCCAGCAAGTTGAATATGGACACGCTACATAGGAATCACTTGAAATGCCGCAAGAAAGTAGCTTAAACGTCATCTTGTCAAAGCAGTGGACGGTAAAGCTTGAAAGCAAAAACGCACAAAGAAGTCCTTGATTTACAAGTCTACAGGGCTTTCATGTTTGAGGAGATAGCAAAAGAGAGAATCACGATCAAACCGTGCGTGGAATGAAGCTCTTCGGATCCTGAGGAATGAAAACTGTTGTGCATATATCGCATTCACGGCTTGTCAAACAAGACTTGGTGGTAATCTAACAAACCTATATTGGAACATTATGATTTGATATTCAAGCGCTTTTCTTTGACACGCTTAGATCTCTCTATTCAGTACCGTTTGACGGGATTTGGACTGAAGTCGGAGTCGATGTGGTATTGCTAAACAGCATTGTTAGAAGTTGACTCTCCTTGTACTCGACGGCATACCGTTCGACAATTTCATCCACCAGCTTTTTTCGCGTTGGGTATGGTCGTACATACAATGTTGTCTATAATTCAAAACATACGTGCGCATACGTGTTAGACAATAGAGCAAAATTCATGTGAGAAAGCAGCAGCATTCCTGGACGTACCTGAGAGCGACACACTCGGTTTGCGTTCATGGCCGTCTGGCGCACAAGCCGCGCGAGATCGGCCTGATGAATCACCATGCCAGATTGCAGTGGTCCAAAAGGAGGCACCTTATCCTTGATGTGTATCTTGATCAAGAATAAGCCACGTTGCGCCTTTCGGAGGGGATAGATCACAATCTGCACGTCGTTGAAGTGGCTTGTGATGGTTGATGGATCATAGCTCTGGCTTGCGTTGTCGTTCCAGACAATATGCACATAATCATTACCCACATGTCGTTTCTTGTCAATTTGCTGTGGGTCTGACGGCTTTGTAGGCATCATTGTAACTACGTGATAAACCACTTCACTGTGAGAGCTTGCATAATACAGCGTTGTTTTTCCGTTCGACAAGCTTTTCGGGTTTGTATCGAGACCACCCACAAAACCACGGTGAGTTTGCATATCCACCTTCCAGCCCAGTTGCGACAAGAACAGCTCGTAGGCGCGACTACCCTTCTCGTTATGAAGAATTTCCTGTTGAGTTTGTTGGCGTTTACCCACATAAATGACGCCTAGCTTCATTGTCTCACGTGTTGGGCTCTTGTCCAAGTGCTTTAACGACCGCTCAAGCTTTGGTCCATGTTCAAGCAACCTAAGCGTCGATTTCTTTTTCGATTCGCCATCAGGGGATGGCAACAGTCCTGCTTGCGACAGGAATAGCCGGCAAATATCTAACGCGCTCACACGACTGTCTTTCAGGCTGCCATTTGAGGTTGTAAGCAAGCGCTCGGCTGCTGTCTTGCCCGGCCTCGTCATTCGTCCCAATTGCTCGTCTGCGTTGCGCTTCTGTAAGGCCAAATGGGATACTCGGGCGTTTACTTCCGTTATCGAGAACGCGTCAAAAAGAGCAAGTTGGGGTGGGATGGATGGTGTGCTGGAGCTTTTACCGCTACCTGCTGTCACTGAAGCTGGAGGCGGTTGGTCCAGTGCTGCCACATACTTATCTAGCAACCCCGACTTGTTAAAGCCTTCATTCTCAACAAATATCATCGCGCGCTCAAAGAGCGAACCAGGGAGGAAGAATGTGGGCTCGGACGAGTCTTCCGCAGGTGTTGTTGACGCTGCTCTGAGGGCTGTTTGGGCCTGGTGAATCTGGGCTTGAATGTCTGTTGCTACAGCGGTAGGAAAAACAATTTTTTTGCCCCCATCAACTGTCATAAATTCCCAATAGATGACACAAGCTTGACCCAGGCGATCCGTTGGAACCGATGAGCGCTCGTATTTCTTAACTGCATCGCAAAAGTCCACAAGCTCTTTTCCTTCAGCGTTATCGTCTTTTGTCAAGAAATGCTTCAACTGTGAGTAGCACTCTTCATCATGAATTAGCCGTTGTAAGAACGAGAATCCAGGGGCTTCCGCTGAGTCCATCAGAAGAGGGCTTGAAGAAGGTGACAAGTCCATCAAGTTGTACCGCATCATCGAATACCTTCCGCCTAGTAGAGTCTTGTCCGTCGTGTCACCGCCACAATCGCGAAATATCATTGGAATGCTGTCCAAAACAAGATCCAATAGACACCGTTCATCGTCCAAACTGCCAATGTTTGGCTCATTGATAGACATGTCAAAGAGGCCACAGATAGTAGTTGTGGTGCGGCGCTTAAACTTCGACTCAGTTTGTGGCGGGCAATGACACATTATCTTTTGGGGTTCAGGTACAGGCTGTACAGCACTACCCAACTTATTCCGGTCTTCGTGCTGCTTTGCGATGCGCTCAAGTCGCTCCTGTCGATCGTCCTTGTTTCCCCCTACCGGCATTTTATCGATTTCAGATGACCGTGACTTATCTTTTTTCTTTGCATCGCCATTTTCTTTGAAACCTGCGGGTGTGTGTCCATCGTCATGAAATACATAACTGCTTTTGACTGGACATACATTGTTGGAAAGAACATCTCGTTCATGCTCCCAAGAGACTTGGCGGGCCTCGAGCTTGATAGCATTAGGCACATTCTTCGCGTCAGATACAACAGGCTTCGTCACAACTTTTTCTCCACCACATGTTTTGCATGTCCCGCCGACGGCATCGGTGCGCTTGAATTCCACCTGCACAGCACCAGTAGGTCTGTGCAGCGTCATTGATTTCGTGCCTAATACATCCGTCTCTAGCGTCAGCTCTCTTTCTACAGGTGCGCCTTTGCTGTTCGCAGTGCTAGCTGCAGCTACATCTCCTCCAATCCATCCCGTCGACGAATGGGCACCGCGAGCCATAACGGCTGGTGTAATCTCCCACGTGAATAGACCGGTCATGTCTCGTACAACAAATCGCGCGCATGGCGAATCAAGACTACCAACAACACTAAACACGATTGAGTCCATGAACACAAAGCTCATGGCGCCAGGTCGCGGTTCATCATCGCCGATTTCACGCAAAGCATCCAGCTCAGAAAGCTCAGAGCAATCAGACATCATCTGATCAACGCCTGCTGGAGACGGAAACCCATTGATATGGTGAAGCAAGTGCATCAGTAGCCCCTCTGCAGCTACTGCAGTCTCTTCAAAGCACTTCAACCATGCATGACCCGGCTCGTTGTCAAGCGACGCGCGCATCTGCAAACCTAAAAACAACAAAGGCATCGACATACGCCTCTCAAGTGTACGCGCGCGCTCAACCTCGCGCTGCCATTCACCATCTGGCAGTGTACCTACTAAAGCTGCTTCGATCGCACCAAAAATCAGCTTTTTCACGTCCGTATCTTGAAGCACCTCGGTTCGATGCATGATCCAGAAACGAAGACACTCAAATATTGCACTGGTTTTCTGTACAATCAGACGAAGAGCCGGGATGTCCTGCTCTCGTTGGGCAGCCAACGAAGCTGATCGAGCAGTGGCAGGGCTAATCGTTGTAGGGGAAGGCGTAGATGAAGGAGCATTTTGAACACCAGACTTCAGCTTACTTTTCAGCTTGCTGAACGCGTCCGTAGCTTCCCCAGGATTACCAGAACTTGAGCTGTCCACTCGGCTAGCCCTAGGATTGTCGCTTCCCCGGCGCACAGCACTAGCTGAGAGATTCGTCCCACCCAAAAACTCGATCCAGTAAATGATGCCGACATAGTTGCCAAGCTGTCGTTTCCACTCGACAAATCAGCTGCACCTATGCGCTCCATTGCTGATTGAACTTCAATTGACGCCTCTTCGACCTGTTGCTGCGCAAAAACTGCCAGCGTCATAACAATTCGTGCCACCAGAGATGGATCAAAACCGTTGATCTCCTCGTGATAATCCGACATGTCTTGCAGAATAGTGAGCGCGGTTGTAGAAATAGAGAAATCAACATTTTGGCATACCTCCACAAGATGAACAACCCACCCCGAAAGATGAATCGGGTCCACAACATGTTCTCCCGTCTTGTATGACTTCAAATTCATCACAACAAGGCAATAAAGCCCCCCACAGTGCGCGCTTTTTTATGTTAACGATATCGGTGAACGGAAGCTGGGCGATTCGAACAAGAATGCGGCCCACGATCACGTGGAAATCGTCCAACGTGTCTGGAATCTCCTCCATTATATTTTGCATCAAACTAAGCTCACCAACGCTGCAAACGCCTTGAATTTTGTGTTTCCATCGTACATAATCTTGATTTGGAAATCTCTTGGGCAATCCCACAATGGCAAACACCACGTCAAGCGCCGCATTAAGCTCATTGTTCCATTCCGATGACTTTACATTTGACTTTGTCGCTCGATTCCAGATGTTGCCAATTATAATTTCATCAACCGCGTACAAATATGCGGGCACAAGAATGTTGAGACCTTCAAGATTCATAGAAAACAAAACTGACGACTTTTGCAGCACAGTAGATACAACCACTCCAGACGAAGATGTAATCCCCTTGAACAGAACACGTGCGACAACTGTAAGATGACTGCGTGTGAGCATGTTGACGCAGCGCACTGAGCAAAGCTTGCACAGTGCTACAATTGCAATGCAGCGAGAGTTCTGAAACTCTACAGCATCCAGTTCGCACGCAGGCAAGAACCACTCGCCGAATAGTGCGAAAACCGTAGATGGACTAATTTGCTGCAGGTCCGAAGGTTGAGCACGTTGTGCTCCTATAGCTGATTCGATCCAAAGTTCCACAAGCTGTAGCATACCCTCGGTTAAATTCAAATGCATCGAGGGCGTCAGTGCCGACACTGTTGGAGGCGGAATAAGATGTAACACACGGTCCAGCAGCAACGTTGCGCCGGATACATCAACTACTGTCATCATAAGAAAGTTTGCTGATGACTGAAGATATCCCTGCTTCAGCTCCCGTAACGATTTTCCGCTTCCTAATATCTTATCGCTCTTCCCTCCTGCTTCATGCTGAGACAAAAGCAAGGCTCCTTCCGGCGTCACTTTTAGGTACGAGTACCCTTTGTCCATGACATACATGAGCAAACAACTCGCAAACCTAAGCTCACGCTTCCAACAATTAATCATTTCAGCCCCTACAACCTTCAGGTCCGCAGGATTTCCAATCCACCGCCGAATAGCTATGGTCAACTCCATCCAGACCTGGGCACCTATAGTCTTCGTGACTATTGCTGAGTGCATCCAAACATGCAAAACAATTGACAGCATTGCAGTGAGCACCGGACGGTTGCCTGGTTCACGTAGCATTATACAATTATCAACCGTAGATAACACGAATTTGCGCAGGTAGGTGGACGTGTAGTCATCAAGTCGCCGCTGGGAAACGAGTTCCAGCAGCTCAATACAATGCAATAAAATCTTGGAATCTTCTAGCTGAACGGATGGATGAAAAAGTTGAGACACGTGGGAGATCATGGCCCTCGAGACCTCGTTTATTTGGACTTTCATACCCGATGGAACATGTTGTGTTCCAGTACAAATGCCCGAGTAGAACTTTATGGCATCCCCCCACTAGCTCTGTATCTCGATACGCGAATCGCTGGCGGATCGTTTCCATAACAACTTCCGAAAACTCACGCCGTGACCAAAGGACTTCCATGTATTCTTCCCTCGACCGCAGTTTGTAAACCCATCGTGCAACAACTCGCTGAAAACTGCCTGGACAATGATGAAAAAATCCCAATGTGTCCCCTTCTTCTTTTAACTTCACCTTCAAACAAACCTTTGGGTACAACAATGGCATATAAAACTTCATAATAAGTTCTGCCCAGAAAATGAATCGATCACTATTTCCACCGGTACTTTTGCCCGTCATCAATAAAGGTGTTGCATTTTTTCCATACGAATCATCTCTTTCTAAGCTTAAATCCATCAAAAACTTTAGCATATCCACTGGTTCCTCTGCTTGTGTCGGCATCGGTCGCATCCATCCTTCCACATGAACACCTTCATTCAAAAACTTGTCCGGTAGCATAATACTTCCTCCTCCATATGGTGAAAAGTCTACACTTTCCCGCAATAATTCAAGATGAATAGTTTTTCGATCCGGCATAGCATGAAGTAACGTGGCATTACTTTTCCCCATCTCATCTTTTTTCATCATATCTTCATGAATTCCAATATCAATATCATCACTCATGAGACGAATACTTCCAGCTCTCGAGACTTGAAAACTCGATGTACTTGTAACTGGCATGGCTGCTAATTGTTGTAAATTCCGTGTTGCGTCCGTATATAATGCAAGACATCGAAATGCATACTTCTTAATCATTGCATGATTATCTTTTTTAAGTAATTTCGCAAATAGGATGGTCAATCCTTTATTATTCCATCCATCACGTAATCGCATGACATTATGACGTAATAGAACTTCCAAGCCTTCAAAAATCTCACTCCAATCTTCTGCTTCCAATGGTTTTCGACGTTGTTTACGGAACGCTGTTTCATGAGGTGCATATAATGTCTCTAACTCCGTGACACAATCATTCACGACACTAAAGACAAGTGCACTATTTGCCTCATCAGCCCAAAATTCAATAATTGTTGCAGCATGTTCAGCTTGAGCATGAGTTCCACCATTAAGATGATTGAAATCCTTGAATGCAGATGATGTAGAAGTAGAAGAAGAAGCAGCAGAAGAAGAAGAGGAAGTTGTACCAGATAATAAAGACTGCATGGCAACTGCAATGTTGCCCGTAGTATTTAATGTCGTCTCAGTACCAGGTGGATGTTTAATATAATCTAATAATGTACGTAAACGTTTACGTGGTGGACGATCAGATGCAAAGAATTTGGCAAGACGTTTAATATCTGTACATGTTGTTTCTTTACGTGGTGTCTTGGTCTCTCCCAAAATACGCTTGGAGGAGTCCATGTTGATTGAAGAGATAGAGAGAGAGTGTGTGTGTGTGATGTCGGGGGGGGCGGGGGGTGCTTAGACTTGAAGTATGTATGGAGAGAGAGAGCAAGAGAGATGCTCGCGAATGTTGCACGAACGAGTATAAAGCAGTGAGTGAATGTATTCTTAAGTAGAAAGTTGAAAAAGATTAGTATTTTACTGGATATTATTTTATTAATTATCGAAACAAACAGAAGGAGAAATGGAAAGTAACTAAAATGGGTGAAAATAGTGCGGGATAAGAATGACCAATTTGAAGAAAGTAAATGTAATTATTTCTATCCGCCCTCGTGTACTTTCGTAAGGTCGGGCCTATTTCTAAACGTGACCATTAAGATCAGATTAATATGCAGCACGTCTATAATGAGATTTTCAGGCTGTTGTCACAAGCAGTACCAACGCCTAAGGCAAATTACCGTAAGTGCAAGACCAAGCACAAGCTACCTACACACCATATGCTGCAAAGACTTTGAGCTTGTCTGGTCTGTCAGTAGATGGGTTAACAACGCCTACCGTCACTTTTGCACATAGTTAATGCAACACCTTACGTGTGTGTCCCGTGCTGATTATATCCGTCCAGGTCCGGTTGCATGGACAAACATTTTATGTATGAGTAAATCGAAATCAAGTCAGCGTGTCGACTATAGGCTATTTTCTGTTTAAACGTATAAGGTTGGCTATTAATGCAATAAAAAAGCGTTGGTTTCACACCATATTGAAGAAACAGTTTACACGTGCCTTAGCACTGGCCGCACCAGCGTATCCGTGGCATTCCAGCAGCGTCGTAGCCAATGTTCGAATCTCCAAAACTGCCGTTCAAAGATAGTCTGCGAGAACAAAACTACTTTGGATCGTCTAGTATATCCTCCCGATCGTGCATCAGCCTGTTGTCCTTAGCGATCGCACCAAAAGCCGAACGAAAACTATAGTACGGCTTGAGCACTTTACTCCATAACGTTGTCATCGGTCTTTACACGGTTGGAAAGGCTCCTTATCGTCTTGGATATAACCGAATATTAATGCTGCGGATAGAGCAGCAGTAGGTCCCATCATGGTACCTGGTCCAGCTAGCGCTTGTCGAACTGCCATCTCTTCCTCTCTAGCAAGTACGGCTGGAACATGATGGGTGGATGCCTACTACTCGAGGTGCGGAGGCTGCACCATGTTTTCGCTTCATTTGTCAGTTTTTATCGTCTGTCTCATGCGTCTGCTGGTATGCTTTGCGGCTCTCTTATTCGTGCGGCTCTCTTATGCGTACAGCTCTCTCTGGATACAGACACACACGGTGATGATGCAAACAATACTCATCTGTACTCAGTGTCTTCTGAGTTGGCAGTCTGCGTCACGCTCATCAGCAATGTGCTGTCGTGCGCGCACAGGATCCTTCTGCCCATGTGTTCGTCCGCTATTTGGAAGCCACTCGCGTTGGCACTCATAGCGCTCTGTTTGATGATAGCGCTTTGTTTGATGCGCTCTGTTTGATGATAGCGCTTTGTTTGATGCGTTCTACATTCCTACCACGACAGAGGTCACTCACTAATTGGGCAGTATGTAAAGCGCAAATTTGCCGAGGACGTTTTGTCCTGTCCAGCCATATTTGGAGTAGGGTTATCGAAGGTACTACTTTGGTCGTAATTTCAGCTCTCACGAGAGCTGTGCCATTTTTCCTGGAGATGCCTGCAACACGACGGCGCGAGATTTGCAAGGCTCTTAACGATAAATCAGTGGTATTGACGGGCGATTGTGCAGGTGCCTTGGAACAAATCGTTACCACTTTGAGGTATACGATATCTTCTTGCTTAGCTTGTTTACACCAATGTGGCGTACTGTAACGGGGTTACACGAAGGTGTGTAGTTTACATACACACCTGCCACACCAATGTGGTGTGGCTGTACCTTGGGTACAAAAGTAGGTGATGTGATCGTACCTGAAGTACGTTCGGTCACATCGTGGCTGAGAGCCACGTGGTCACTATACTTATTTAAAGTAATGACAATACATACATAGCCACTAAATCGGGACTAGCACTAAGTATAGAGTAAATGAGTAGGTGCTTCTATATTTAGTGGTAGAAGATAAACATAAATATAAATCAGCTTTAACCTGCTCTATAAGCATCACTGCTTGAGCATTCTATTCCTTCTAAGAAATCAGTATCTTTGATACTAGTCTCTTTGAGACCCGGTTGTAATAACCGATAGGCACAAGCTTACGAGCTAGCCTAGGAAAGGTTAAGTACCCTAAGACGTAGAAGCTCTCTGAGCTTGTCTTCCTCTACACATAGTGCATAAGTAGCTTGGTTACAGTAACTCGGCTACACTGGTAGTACTTGCAACCAATCCCGCACCTGGGTTTGCGACTCCTTCTTTGTGTGAGAATGTACATCGATGAGATGTCAGCGGTTGACCTGTCGCAGGCACAACAGGAAGGGTGCAGAAGCTGCTCCCTATCCTTGGCCCTAAGGGCATAGAGTACCTCATCGCCCAGGGCGAAGAAGAGTTTAACAAGCGTATTCTTATGCTTTATGAGTATAATAAAGCTCTAGTCGAGCATGTAAAGGCACAGATGCCTTCTTCTGCGCCTTCGCCTATGGCGACTATGGCGCAAGAAGTGGTCCGCAGACCAAAACCCATACAAATGGAAGTCGATAAGTTCGACGGCAAAGAAGGTGGCAACCTTATGCATTGATTCCGACAGGTTGAGTCGGCTATGTTTATAGCCGACATCACCTATGAACCGTCACCGTGGAGCTTTGCAACGGGCAAGTTAGGTGGCTTAGCCAAACAGTCGGCATTCACATGTGGTGCATTATTGCAAGATGCTTTTCCCACATGGGCCGATCTGAAAGTTCAGATGACCCGGCAGTATGCACCGCCAAACCAAGCACACCGTAACCGGTCGCGGTTTTTGGCGTGTCGCCAAGGCAAGCTTGAGCTTGCGGCATATGTACAAGAGTTGAGAACTCTCAGTTCTGCCATGGTCATAGACCCTATGCCTGAGGCAGTGACCGTCACGGTTTTTATGGAGGGCCTTCGAGTTGGCGTTGCCAGAACGGAAGCCCCCTTCCGGGAAAACCCATCTTCATTTGAGAAGGCAGTTGGAGTGGCGTGGAATGCCGAGACCAACTTTAAGGCCGCTAGGCCTGCCACTTATAACTACTCGTGTGATGGGTCTGTACCCATGGACTGTAGTCAAGTGGAGGATGAAGAAGCTGAGCTTCAAGCTGCGGAGCTGCAAATCGTGCGCAAATGTTAGATCTGTAAGAGCACAGGCTAATTGATGGCAAAATGCCCTGCAAGAAAGGCATATTTGACATCGAAGGGCCGACGCCCCATGGGTAAACCGTCTGGTTTGCGCCAGGGAAACGGCGGAGCCCAGTAGGCGCAGGGCGCCATACTGGGGAAGAACTGAGTTCTGTTGAGCCTCTGGGAGGTAGAAGTAAACAGGACTCAGCCCCAAAGAGATACGAACTCTCAAAAACGGAACGAGAATGCAAGCCAGGCTTGCTAGTCGTCGAAGGGACGGTAAAGGGCTTTGATAAGCCATGGATCATTTTGATCGATTCGGGGGCATCGGGCAATTATGTGCGCCGTGCCACCGTGGAAAATAGTTAGCAGTATGCTGAAGCGCTTGTAACGCGTGAGAGTGACAGCACCTAGTGACGAGGTACTGGCCCAAGTGGGTCGGGTGAAGTCAAAAATGACGGTTGTCTTTGAGGACAACGAGGTGCAAGCACCTCATGACGAGGCATTAACCCAAGAGGGTAGGGTGCGGTCAGTAAACGAAGTGGTCTTTGACCTTGAGGCGTGTACAACTGTGGACGCTGATGCGTCGGATGCTGAGAACATCATGAGTAGCGATGATGATGTCGTGAGTGACGGTGATAGCGAACAGCTATATACACTCGTCAATGGTTTGACTGGGGATGTTGAAGGGCCGATGGCTCTTTCAGCTATACCCGCAGTAAGTGCTCTGTTAGAGCTGGACAAGCCGTCCTTTGCCGAGTTTGGCAGTGCCTTACAGGCAGGCAAAATCGCCGAAGTGGTCGTTATACGACCTGAGGAGGAGTTAAACTCCTCATCGCTTTTGGATGAAGCAGTTATTGAGGATACCAAGAAGGCGCTGAATGCGCGTAGTGGATCGCAGATCCTGAAGGACCCTTCGGATCCTTATTTTACTTTGTTGAAGGAATATGGAGATGTTGTCTCCAGAGAACCTCCGACGAGGTTACCTCCGGATAGAGGTGTACGTCATGAGATTGACTTGGTTCCAGGAACCAAATATTGTGTGACGCGACAGTGGCCGCTACCACAAGAACAATGTGACGTCATTAACAAGTTCTTTCGTGCGAAGCACGCGGCTGGCATGGTGCGTGAGAGTTAGTCTCCTTACTCTACGCCCACTTATTGTGTGAGGAAGCCTAATGGGAAGTGGCGAATAGTGCATGCTTACAATAAGCTGAATGCAGCCACTATCCCGGCTCAAACACCAATTCCTCGCAAGGATATTCGTCAGAACAATATGGTGGGATGTACAATGTACAATGCCCTCGACTTAGTCGATGGATATTACCAACTGCTCATGCGAGATAGTGATATCCCGCTGACAGCGGTCAGTACTCCGAGCGGTATGTTCTGGGAGTGGGCCCAATGGCTATCTAACGCACCTGCAACGTTTAATCGTCTACTGACGCAGTTGTTTCGGCCCCATAAGGCGTAGCACAGACATACTTTAACGATATTTCGTCCATAGTCGAGCCGAAAATGGCAAGACTGATGTGGAGCACCACATCGATCGCCTGCGAGCTTGTGCTGGGTGGTGGGATGCATAAGTTATATGCCAATATTGACAAATGCATCTTCGGTGCGGAAGAGATTCCCTTTTCTGGATGCTTCATTGGGAAGCGAGGAATCCGGACAGACCCTGTTAAGGTCAAAGCCATAGTGGATTGGCCGGTTCCGAGGAACCAGAAGGA